CGCCCCACAGGGGGCTCTTCCCGGCGTGGTGCCCGCGGCCTCAGTGGTGACCCATGTCCTCCATTCCCACGCGGCCCCAGACGCCCAGCACAAAGCTCTCGATGTCGCACTCGTTGGCGCCGCGCACGATGCGGAAGTGGCCCCTCTCGCCCCAGGCTGGGCCCCACGAGTTGGCCGCCGTCTGGGAATGAGGAAGGGCCGTGAGGAGGGGAATGGGAGTCGGGGAGGAGGAGAGGAGGGCGGGGGAAGATGACTGTGGCCGCGGGGCACGCGGCGCAGGGACTCACCCAGTATTTGAGCGTCCTTCCATCCGGCAGTGTCTCCTCTCCCCACCTGTGGGGCAGAGCCGGAGGCGGAAGGGCGCTGATTCACCTGCTTTCAGGAGCTCCGACCCAACCCGGGGGCCTTCCCTAATCAGGCCCCTGTTGCCTTTGGTGATTTGGGTACACCCTCAGGACTTGGGCAGGTCTTTGTCCTTCTCTGAACCTTCCTCAGTCTCCACATGTCTACGCCAGTGTACCTGCGCCCAGTGTGGGAAAGGCACCGAGACAACTGGAGGGAGTGAGCAGAAACGGAGGGAACCGGGGCCTCGACCCTCCAGAGAACTACAGGGGAGCAGTTCTCTGGGACCCCACACATCTGCCTGCCCTCCCTCCTCATCTGGGGAGCCAGGGAGGAGGTGGGGTGCCAAGGACAAGAAGGAAGAGACTCAGAGAATGTGAGTACCTTAGAGATCCCAAACTCCCTCTGCAAAGTACATTTCCTTGGTTGGACAATTGAAATAAACGATTCTAGCATCTCCTGTTATATCAGCTGGGGAAACAGACGGCTTGGGGATTGAGTCCGAGAGTCAGGCAGAGTTGGAACAGGTGCTGAGCAGGGGAGAGGTTGAGCAACTCTTGGATTCTTGTCTGTATTTCATCGGAGTTACTTTATCCCAGTGTGTGAGGAAGGAACAGTTCGTAGAACACCTTAAAAGGCCCCTAAGCTTGGTGTGACTCAGGGCAAGTCCCTCCTTATTTCCAATGTAAGCTTCCACCTCTTTGAAATGGAGCTTTGCAGAGAGATGGTGAGGATTCAAGGCAGTCTCAGAGCCTCCAGTGCAAACTCTGCTACCCCCAACCCCCCTGCCCATCAAGCCCCTCACCCTGTGATCTTGACCGAGTGGGTCCCATGCCGACGATATCGTTCGGGCCTCCCAAGGCTCACTGGTGTGTGGCTGTAGATGCCGCTCTGGTACAGGAAGAAGTCCTCGTGCACCTCCATGAGGGCTGTGGGCAAAGGTCAAAGCACGGCTGGCTCAGCCCATCAGCACAGGCACTGATGCCGAGCCTGGAGATGCCCTAGGGCCTCTTGGCACCAAGGCTCTAAGTATCTGCTCCAGGTGTTGCCCGTGAGGAGCGGACATGGTCTCCCCAACTCCTGGCCCTGATGGACTTGCTGTTCAATGCTGTCCAGACCACTTGTGCTGCTGTGCCCAGTCTCAAGCAGACACAGCTTCTGTAGCCAGGGGGCAGGATGAGGGGTGTTTACCTTGGACAGGGCCATTCTCCATCAGCTCCTTCATGATCTCCTTCTCCTGGAGAGCAAGGGGGTGAGGAGGAGAGTACTCGTCAGGGGTGAGTCTGAAGCCTTTGGCCAACCTTCCTCTCTCCTGCCTTTGCCCTCTCACCCAAGTGCAGACTTACATTGGAGCCGAGGCGGTAGGCAGGAGTGACCTGGTAGATGTCGTTGGCGTGGACATGGCTATTGGGGCAGCGGGCAGTGGCCTGGCGCTTGCCCCGACCCATGGCCCGACTGTGCATCATGCAGCGAGGTGAGGGGCCAGCGTCGTCCTGCTCATGGCCCGAGAACGGGTAGCAATGGTCAGACACAACCCTAAAAGGGCAGCAGGAGGGAGTGGGGACAGAGTGAGCACAGGGCAGCCTGGCCCAGACCCTTCCTGCAGCCCCTCGCATCCCAAGGCAGCAGCCTCATGCCCTCTTCCCTGCCCACGCCCTCTGCTGCTCACCCTCTACGTCGCAGGAACCACCAGGCACCATCGAGACGCCCACCGCGGCAACCCTGCTGGTTGTGCGTGTCACAAGACAGCAGGTTCTGGGGTGACAGGACAGGTGTCATGTGCCCCAGAGAATGGATTGAGACTCGATCGGATGCCACGGCTGGTGGGAGGAGGGAGAGGGGCTGTCAGGGAGCTCAGGCCTTGGTCCTCCTTTCCCACCTTGCCAGCCCCTGCCCTCAGATGTACCTGCTGTGGAGAAGGCCCAGGAGCCTGCACAGTTGCCTTGGTCGAGAGGGTCGTGGATCAGGTTGGGCCACTTCTCAGAGGCCTCAAAGGCTGTGGGCAGCACCTCCCCTGGGCCCAGCACTGTCTGCAAAGCAGAGGTCACTCTGTCTGCCTCTTGCCTCTGCCCCAGCCTGCCCTAGGGGGCCCTAGGCATCGGAGGTCTCCCAAGCATCCGGGGCCTTCCTCAGTTTGATCTTGAGCCCTCCTGCTGCTGAGACATTCCAACAACCTCCAGGTGGACTGGAGAGGAAGGCCCAAGCCCCATCTCATGCCTCCCTAGTGTCAGGTGGAGGGTGGCTAGTCCTGTTTTATAGGTGCAGCAACTGAAGCCAAGAACAGGAAAGTGGCCAGGCCAGGGCCACCCCGATTTCCTTCCTCAGCCCCCGCCTCTTTCCTCCTCTGCACCTTCTGATCTGCCACATCCTTCTTCCCACTAGGACCTTGGGCTTCAGGCCCCAAAGGGCAGTGGAGGCAATAAGCAGTAAGGTCTCGTGACCGGGCAGGCTGCCAAGGCAAACAGCAGGAGGCAGAAATAGCCAGAGGCCCAGGGGAGTAAGGGCAGGGGCAGGGTCTGGTCACCCTAGCCTTGAAGTGAACTCCCTCAGCAGAGAGGGTACTCCGGCCAGCCACCGCCTCCTCCCTGCCTGCCACTGCCTCCAGCATGTGCTCCAGCCCTGTCCCGCTGAAGCTCCCTTTCCTCACCCTTTGACTGTTCTGGGTCTGGTTCCCATTTCTCCCTCTAGAAAGTCCCACTGGTGGGGAGAAGCCTCCTCTTCCCTTGGGGTTCCGCTGAGACAGCATTTGTTTCCGAGAATTGCTGCTCTCTGGCCAAAGCCAGAGGAGTGTCTGTCCCTCCTTTCCCAAAATACCAAGGTGACCTCCTGGCCCTTTGGGCCCTGACCCAGCCATACTGGGACCAATGACATTTTTCCCAAGCTAGGGAGGCCAGGGAGGGACAGATGCTGGGACCACAAAACTCAGACTCTGAGCATCAGTTCTTGCATTGCAGTACATCTGGTTATAAGCAGAAACCCAAGGCCCAGAGAAGGGGAGTGACTTGTCCAGGGACACACAGCTTATTGATGGAGGATGGGCCTAGGCCCTTGAAGAAACAAGGCACAGGGTGCCAGGGTCCCAGGCCAAGAAGAGATGGCAGGATTGTGGCCGGGGTGGACTTACATGAATCTCATTCATATTGGTGACGGAGGAAGATGGGCGAATGGTGCCTAGACGGTAGCTAATGCCCTCATCCAGGGTCATGCCCCAGAAGGCACTGTGGTTCCCAGCCCGCCACCTGAAAGAGAGGGGATGGCAGTCACAGACCTGCCAAGGCTGGGGATCCTAGAGGTCTGCACATGGGGGTGGGAGAGATGCCTCCTGGCTAAGTGTACACATGAATAAGATCTGAGTGTGGGTGTGTCTGGCAAGACATGCACCTCGGGCAGAATGCGTGTGTATGTGCGTGCATGTGCCTGTGTGCCCACTGGGGCACTTTTAGGGCCTCTCACCCGTAGTTGCCCTGGTTGATGGCCTTGATCATGTCTTGGTCCACCAGGCATGGCTCCTGGTCACACTCCCACTGCCCTTTCTCCTGGCAGGTGCTGGAGGAACAGGAGGAAAGGAAGAGGTGAGGCAGAGCTGGGCATCCTCTGAAGGGAGGAGGCCTCAGAGGTCAACAGGGGCCTGAAATTCTGCATCAGCGCCTATGGAAGTAGGGCCCCTAGATGATCCCATCCAGCCTGGTGGCTTTAAATGTTAACTTCAGGTTCACAATTCTCAAGTTTGTATCTGCTTCTCAGATCTCTCCCTAAACTGCAGATTCAAGAATCTTGCTGCTACCCAACATCACCACCGGGGTGTCTAGCGAGTCACACTTACCATATCCCAAACAAATTTCTGCTCTCCCCTACTCTCACAGGCCTCAAAAACCATTTCATCCTTCCTGGAGCGCAGCCCAAAAGCCTGGGAGGCACCCTTGACTCTTTCTCTCATGTGCTGACCCAATTCACTGGCAAATCCTGTTGACGCTACCTTAAAAACACAACCAGAATCCAAACCACATCTCATTCTTTCCTGCAGCCACTGTGGTCCAATCACCTTTCACCTGGATTATGCTGCAGCCTCCTCACTGCTCTCCCCAGTTCTGCCCCATGCCCCACCCCAACTTCAGTATATTTTTAATACAGCTGCCTAAGCGATCCTGTTAAACCCAAATCATATCTGGCCATTCCACTGCCTGAAGCCCGCCACTGGCTTCACATCACGGAATAAGGAGCCAAAGTCCTTCCAGTGCCAACAAGGCCCCACATGATCTGTCCTCCTGTTTCCTCTCTGCCCTCCTCTTCCAAGTCCTGGTTCCTGAAGCCCCAGCCTGGCTGGTCCCCTGACTGTTGACACCAGCCGTATTCCTGCCCCCAGGCCTTTGAGCTGTTTTTCCTCCAACATCCTCATGGCCCACTCTCACTTATTCCAAGTCTTTATTTAAATGTCACCTTCTCAGGGTGTCCTACCCCGGCCCTATCTCAACATCCTCTGCCCTTCGTACCCTGTGTCCCTGTTTTATTTTCTCCTCAGCCTGTCCCGATAGTGTATCTGACATATTACATATTTAGTTATTTATATTTTATACCTGTTTCCTCATAGACTCTAAGGTCCTTGAGGGCAGATAGTGTTTGACATCTTCAGAGCCTAGAAAACAAAACCTCGCACATCGTTGGTAACTAATAAATATTTGTTGAGTGAGTGAGTGAATGAATGAATGAATGAGGCAATATAGTGAAGTGACTGAGAGCATGAATTCTGAAACTCAAATCCTGAGTTCCGATCCTAGCTGACTAGTCATGTGACTTTAGGTAAGTTATTTGAAGCTCTCCCTCAATGCTGTTGTCTGTAAAAAGAGGATAATAATAGTACCACTTTCTAGGGATTAAATGGCAAGCTTGTAAAGGATTTAGCACAGGGCCTGGTCCACGTTATGTGCTCAAGAATTGTTAGCTACCTGGGGAGAGGGTATAGCTTGGCGGTAGAGGGCGTGTTTAGTATGTATGAGGTCCTGGGTTCAATCCCCAGGACCTCCATTAAATAAATAAACCTAATTCTACGTCCTACCAAAAAATAAATTAACAAAAGTTGCTATCTACCATTCTTGTTCTCATTACAAGAACTCCAACTCCAACTCCAATTCCCTGCCTCCTTGAGTTTCAGACTGGTATTCAACTAGTCTCCTGACATCTCTGGGTGTGTGAAAGGCATTGCAAATGCCAAATGGCCAAGACTGCCTTCTGCCAAACTTGTTCCTCTCGTAACATCCTCAACCCAGAAGATAGCCCCCTGATCTACCCAGTTGTTCAAGCCAGAACGCTTCACCCCTCCACTACCATCATCCTATTCTAGTCCCTCATCATTCCTCATCTGGACCATGGCAGTGGCTTCCTAACCAGGCTCCCTGCCACTTTCTGATTCCCTCCCCCTAGTACTCACACCCCTCTCTTACTGCCACAGAGATCTTTGAGCAACACAGATCAGACTCTGTGATCTCTAAGTGGCTTCCCACGACACTTAGAACAAAATACAAAATCCTTGGCACAGCTTATAAGACCCATGGGACATGGCCTGCACCTCCTCCGGGACTCTCTCCCCATTTCACAGCTCCAGCTGCAGTGAGCTGGGTCCCACCTCCTGGCCTTTCCACAGCCATTTCCCTCATGTTCCCTCCTCCTGGGCCTGGGCCACTCATGCTCTCATCTGCCTGGTATCCACATAAATGTCCCTTCTTGAGTGGCCTCCCCTCGCCCCCATACCACTCGAAACTAGGATCTCCTCTCTCTTTTCCCCATCACACTTGGAACGGGTTTAGACTAGAGGCTCCAGTGTGGGGACAAAGATGTCTGCCATGGTTTGACTGCATCTCCTTGGCCCAGCACAGCGCCCAGCACATAGTCGGGCTCTAATAAATAGGAGTTGACTGCACAGTTGAATTCTGTAAATTCTATGATGCTTTTACAGCTCATAACTGAGCTATTACAAGATGCTAAGCTGCGTCCTTCTACACCCTCTTGAGGCTCCCGCCTCCAATGTTGCCTTTTAAGGAGCCTCAAGGGGAAGGAGACCCAGTATGGCTGGGCTCTCCAGCCCCGGGAGCTGCGGGGCACCTTTAGGGAGAGCAGAGGAGACTGCAGGGGGGCAGGGAGGCTCTCCCTGGCCTTGCCTTCCCCCTCTGACTCTCAGAGCTTCCGAGGCATCCCTGGAGGGCTCACACAGCCTGGAATGCCCCCAGACACAGCCCCCTACCCTCCCTCAGGTGTCAGTTGCAGGGAACACAGCCAGAGCTGGCCTGGGAGGGCAATGGGTTGGTCAGTCCTTTCTTGCCACCTCCCTCTTTGCCCCCAGGGCTGCTCAAGCAGGTCTAGGCAGGGTTGGTGGCAGCAGGTCCCAGCATTCCAGAGGGGGCCTGGGTGGCCAGGCCTCAGGGAAGGGAATGGGAAAGAGTGTTAACTCCTCAACATCCAGAGGCATCCGATCAGTACAAGCAGAATCAGGCAGGCACGTTTCATCTTTCTAAACACAAACACAGCTCACAAACACTCAAAGCGTGCGCGCACGCGCACACACACACACACACACACATACTCTCTCACCCAGACGCACGCTGGAACGCATGAGTCCCCACTCTCCCTGTGACCCAGGCGCCCCTCACGCCAGTGAGGCAATGGAAATAGCTTGTGCGTAATGCATTCCAAAAAGTTTCCTCGTCCCTGGGGCCCTCTCAGTCCCAGGCAAAGACGGCATGGGGTGGAGTGGGTGCAGGGCCTCCTCCTCTAAGTCTTAGGGTCCCCATTATTTCCATTAAGGCATTCAAGGCTTCCCAGTTTACCTTTCTCCACCTCTCATCTCAGGCCTTAGATTAGAGTGGGGGCCACCCCTGAACCCTTCATCCTCCTTCTGGGAATGTAGGGGAGGAGGCTGGGGGAGGCCACATTCCGGGGAAGGCCCTGCTAGTCTGGCTAGCTGCCAACTCAGTCATCCCTGACCCTCATCCGGTCCAGGGCAGCGGATGTTGCAGTCAGAGGTTTCCTTCCTGGCGCCCCCTTCTTGGACTCTCCCATGACAGCGAGAAAGGTTGGGAGGGGCAGCAGCCCAACCCCAGGCAGGAGGTGCTGCACCTGGAGCCGGGCATCCATGATTGACCATGCCTGGGGACTGTTGTTGGAATCCTGGTATATAAGTCGATATGGTCCATGTGAAAATTCCCATGTTACAGATGAGGAAACTGAGGCTCAGAGAAGGGAAAGGACTTGTGCCCAACACATGAGTGACAGGCATAAGGTTTGAACCAAGTCTGTTGGCCACAAAGCCCACAAGGCAAGCCCCCTCCAAGCCCCAACACTCACCAACGGTTGCAGTTGTCCCAGTAGGTTCCCAAGACTGGATAGATGCGACCCCTGTGCATACATCCTGCGGGGATGGAAGACAAGGAGAGAAGTGGAACCAAGACCAGACACGATGGGCTGAAATGGCTGGGTCCTCAGAGGTCAGGTGTCCCGAATTCTCCCCAAAACACACATACACACACATGCACACTCACATGCACACACCAACCCTCACTGAAACTAAAGCCAAGCTATAACTTAAGACACCACCTACAGGGTCACACACCAACTGCTACTTGGGAAGTTCTCCAGTGACTCCAACCCAGATTCCTCTTGCTTCATTTGGCTGCCAGTCACAACCTTCTTTAGATCCTATGCCACTTAAATGAATTGGGGTCTGGAGATGGGGAGTGGGACGGGTATGGGGAAGCCAAGGCTCAGAGAAGGTAAGTGACTCCCTTAAGATAACACAGCGCTTTGGAATGACAACCCAGGAATGCAGTCTCATACCCACAGCCCCATGGAATTGTGGGAAGGAATTCACATGATTCTCCTGTGGGATAAGGGCAAATGGATGGTGGTCAGGGGTGAAGGCAGGAATAGACTTGACCCACCTTCCAGGTGTGCCCAGCCATCAGGGGTGGAGAATCCTGAGTAAATGTAGAGGAATTGCTAAGATGACCCTGACCAACCCCTGTGCTTTATCAGTCTGTGAGTGAGTCAGCAGGCGGGGCCAGCACCTTCCAAGTCCAGAAAATGGAGACAAGCAGGACTGGAAGAAAGGGCAGGAGGCTGCCCTTCTCCTGAGCCAACTTAAAATCCCACTGACCAAGGATCTTCTCTTTCAGGCTCACTGGAGAGATTCAGATTAGACCAGAGCAGGGACTTCCCAGAGGTTCAGAGAGTGGGGCAGTGTCTCTTTCCCAGATTCTAGAAAGCCTCCCCTGGAAATGTCAGTGCATCAGCCTTGCTCCTGAGTCTTGCTGAGTTTGGGATTGACCAAGTGACCCACCCCTGGCCGCCTGGTGCCCACCTTGGATGGGGGGAAAGGGGGGTGGCACGCCGAGGCAGAAGTCCCAGAAGTCAGGGCAGCAGTCGGAGACGGTGCGGTTGCAGAAGAGGTCACAGTAACAGGTAGCACCCAGGTAGGGCAGGGCGCAGTCATCAGCACGGCCGCGGCAGCACAGGTCCTGCTCCTGGCAGTACCGGCCACCCGCATCCCGGATGCCCCGCAGGTGCAGAGCCGGTGCTAGCTCCCGGCGCCCACGACCCCGCCGGGCACCCAGGGCCAACTTGCCAGCCAGCAGCAACAGCAGCAGCACAAGTGGACACCGCCACATGGTGCCTCCTGGGCCCAAGGAGGGCAGAGGTCAGGGGTCAGAGGCGATGGGCAGCAGAGATTCCCTGGTACCCCAGGGACTGATCTCCCAGCTACCTGGGGCTGTGAGTCCAAGGGTATCCAGCAGGGACTCTGATTCCTGCGTCCCCAGGCAGGATAGGGGCGAGGAGCCACAGCTTAGGTGCCCTGGCTTAGCGGGTAAGGGGCTTGGAAAAGAAATGGAGCCCCTCCCTGACCTGCCTGGGGACCCTCAAGGGCAGGAGGTGGGGATTGTGGCATTTTTGCTGCCCTCTACTCAACACCCATACTTTACACCCAAAGTCTCCTCCTGCCCTGGGTTCCTGCCCTCCCCCCAGCTCCATCCCTGACGAGGGTCCCTGACTTTGTGCCCTTAGGTATCCCCCTCTCTCTGTGCCCCTCTGCCCCCCTCCACTCTCCCTCTCTGGCACCTGTCTTTCCCCTTCTCTTCTCTGTTTCTTCTGTCTATACCCTCTCCCTTCTGAGCAGGGGAGCGTCCCTACCTGGTGAGGGGTGTGGGCTGAGCCCGGCTGCCTCACTCGCCTCCGCCTCCTCACTCCTGCGACCGCCGACCGCCGGACACTCAAAGTCAAGTGAGGAGCGCGGGGCGGGATCGCTTTTTGTACCGCCCCGCTGCCCGGCGCGCCGCCCCGGCCCGGCTGCCGGAGGGAGGGGCCCTGGCTCCTTCGCACCTGGAGTGGCCCCTTAACTCCGAAGCTGGAACTAGTGAGAGAGACTGTGAGCAGGTGACCAGGCTTGCTGGGTCTTCGGTGGAGGCCATTCCCTTAAGGGGCGGAACTCCAACCGAAGCAAAAAGGACTGTGGTCTGACACCGGTAAGGACTGCCCAGTGGGTTTCACTGTGGGGCTGAGGACCTCGCGCGGACAGAGGAAGGTAGAGGGCAGTGGAGCTCCGAGTTTGGGTCTTAAGTTTGGGAAATGATGGGGAAGATGTGGGTGGTAAAAATCTCTAAGCCCCTCTGTGACCCCTCAGTAATAAATACAGCCATGCACACCCCTCTTCTCAGTGCCCCCCAGGCTTGGAGCCGCCCCAAGCCGCCTCCGTTCCCAGGAATGACTGGAATCTGGAGGAGGACGGTTTAGGACCCTGCAGAGGCCTGGGGCGGCTCATCCTCCCAAGGGGGGTGGGGTGGGTGTGGTGTGAGGGTACCTCCCGGCTCTGAGACCCCTCTTTGGGCCTGCCCTCCCGAGTCTGCCTGGGCACCCTGCCAAATACTGCCCCTGGGGTCCTGCTTGGCACCTGTCACCCTTCAGGGTCCAAAGGCAAGAGCCCTGCCAGTTGGCGCCCCCTGCAGAGCTCCCCCTCTTCCTGCCCCAGGCGTAAACCCTTCCTTTGCCCAGGCTGGCCTGAGCCCCAGACAATGGGGCTTCTGTCCCGCTAGGCCTGCCGTCACCTTTTACCTCAGATTGCACAATCCCCTCTCTACCAACAGGTTGGGTCCCCAGCCAGAGGACTCTAACAGCAGGAAGATGAAAGAGACTCCACCTGGACAGATTCCCCCCATCCCGGGGCCTGAACTTCACAGGTGGGGGTGGGGGAAGCTTCAAGCACTGGGGATTCCCTTTGCCCTCTCTCTGACCTCCCTGCCCCCCTCCCCCAGCCTTGGGGCACCCTCAGCTGGCCAGCCCCTGGGGGAGGGGAGGGACCAGGACAACGAGCATCTGTGACTGGGGTTACCCCCTGCCAGGGGGCACTGGGCAGGGAGTCACCAAGGGGATCCCGCCCAGGGCGGGGGTGTGGAGGATGGGCACTGGCGAGAACACACACAGGAGCTGGCCCATCTGCTCCCTCCAGGGTCCCTGGGGACAAGACCTAGATGAGACACTGAGGCTCAGAAGAACAGACTTGTCCAATGTCACACAGCCAGAACGCAGGCTCCCTACCTACTGCCACTCCCCTCCTTTCCCTTCAGTCACCCTTAGCCACCCACTGCAGGTCTCAACACCTTCCTGGTCAGGAAATCCCTTTTCACGTCTAACCTCCATTCATCTTACTACAATGTGGGTGCCTCCGTATTGGGTAGGAATGGAGGCTGCCTTCAGAAGAGCTCATGCCCAGAGAACCCACTTTTGTGAATTAGTCTCAGAATGGTTCTGGGGCCGGGAGCTGGAGGCTTACCCGGGGGCATCTGGCCTCTCCTTCGCCCCAGATCACCCCCTGTAGGCCACCCATGTGGGCCTGCATTGTGTGTATCTGAGAGTGAGGTGTTTCTTTCTGAGTGTGTGTCTGGATGTGCTTGTCTGTTATGTGCCTGTGTCTCACCTGGATGTTACCTCTGTGTGGTCATGGTTCTGTCTGTCTGTCTGTCTCTCTGTCTGTCAGTGTACTGTTTGCCTGTATTTATCTGTTTCTTGACTAGCGTATTGGTGTGTAGAGCTGTGTGACCCACTCTGTCTGCCTATGTACTAGGTGCCTATCTGTCTTGCTAGGTGTCTTTGTATCTGTGTGGGCGTCTGTTTGTGTCTGTTCGGGAGTTTTAGCTGTCTGCCTATCCTTGCCTGTCTGTCTGTCCATGCTTAGGAAACAGGAACACAGAGCCGGGGAAGAGAGCAGAGGCAAGAGCATGGCTCCCAGGTCCCTCGTCGTCACTGAGCTTGGTGCTGATCCGGCCCCTGTGGGACCTTGTGACTCACTGGGTCCCTGGCCAAAAAGGAGAGGGAAAGGGCAGGGCTCTGGGGGAGGGCCTGGAGCCCCACTTTCCTTTTCCATGGCCCCACCTCCTTCCTGGTGACTCATTCTTGTCCTAGGGCCTGGGGTGGAACAACAGTTGAGGTGGTGGCAGCAGGCCTTACTCTCAGAGCCCTTTGGCCTCCTGGGAGGCAGGTGGCCTGCAGCTCCGCAGTGACTCTGTCCTCCCTCACTTGTGACCCTGGGCCGACACGGCCCCTCTCTGGGCCTGGGTTTCCCATGTGTACCTGGATGCTCCATTTTGATGCTCTTTTCTTTCTACAAAGGGAGGTGAAGCTAAAAAGGGGCAGTGACATGCCCAAGGTCACACAGCAGAGAAGAGGTCCAGGCCTCCTCTCCTCTCTGCGGGAGTCCCGCGCTCCCCCCTACCCATCCCGCTTCCCCAGCTGCTCTGGGTGCTCAGAAAGGGCCATTCTCCTCTGGAAGCAGAGCAGGGCCTCCTGGAGAGACAAAGACCCATTGTGCTCTGCTCAACCCAGGTCTGCGGCCCAGGACCCACTACTCGAGTCTTGGGGACTCAAGGATTTGGATCCCAAATGGCACCCCAGTGAGGGCTGAGGGTCCCTGTGGTCAGCTGGACCTGTCCAGAGCTTGCAGCAGTGATGCCTGGAGCTGAATCCGAGATCTAGGCCAGGCCTAATGTTGTCCGTGTTGGGCCCTGTCGGGACATGTCAGGCTTCCTGGAGCCCGTTGGGCTGTGTTATCAAAGCATTGCCCCTGGGGCCGTGTGACAGAATGTGGCACTACTGGAGCATGCGGAAGCTCGTGATCGATAAGATTCGGGGCCACGTGGAAGTATGTTGTCCTGTGGAATGCTTTACTGTTTGATTTTCTCATTCATTCCACAATATTCCAATAAATATTTATTGAGCATTTACTATGTGCCAGGCTCTGTGCTAGAGGCTAAGTGTTCAAGGTTAAGCCAGACTGTTCTATTGTCTTCAAGCTAATAGGAAGACAGACAAATAAACAAGCAGACAAACATATCAATCATCATTCCACCAGGTAAAGGACTATGGAAGCAGTGCTCCTGGCTCAGGAACCTGGAGTGATGTGAAGGTCAAGGGGGTCTCAGAGAGAGGGTGACTTTTGAGTTGAGACCAAAAGACAAGAAGGAGGACCATTCCTAGAGTCCAGGGGAGGGTGTCCCAGGAAGCCGGGTCAGCATGAGCCATGGCCCTGGGGCCTGGCATAAGTTGGTCTGTTTGAGACACAGAAGGCAGCCCAGAGTGGCCGCGCTATGGTGAACGAGGGGCGCAGAGGAGCAAGATGAGGCTGGGAGGTGGGCTGGGCAGCCCATCATGCAGGACCCTCAGGCTGTAGTCTGGAGCTGGAATTGTCTCCTGAACAGGTTTAAAGAGATTTAAACGTGGCACTGAAATCATCTGATTTACACCTGCCTGCTCTGTAGAGGAGGATGACCACCAGGTAAGAGTGGATTCAGAGGGGCCTGGTAGGAGGCGGTGGTATAACCCAGGCTAGGGGTGCTGAGGCTTGAACAAGGCTGGTGGCCATGCAGATTGTGCGAAGCAGGCCTGCTGGGGACCTGTTCTGGAGGTGCAAGTGGCAGGACTTTCTGAAGGATCAGATGTGATGGGTGAGAGAGGCGAGGAATTGAGGAGGACTTCCAGGTTTCTAGCCTGGTGGGTTGAAGACAGCCGCAAAATCTCAGCTGCTTAAAAAAAAAATCTATGCTGTTCGCCTCCTCAGAGTCCAGGCAGGCTCAGGGACAGCTTGGCCAATGAGATCTACAGAGGCGTATGATGGTTTCCAGCTCAGACTGGAAAAGCAGGAGACGGACAGAGCCTGGGACACTCCTCTGTCAGAAGTTCGGCCGAGAGGAGGGGACAGTACAGTAGACTGAGCAGTCTGGGAGGAAGGAGGGGGACCAGGTGAGAGAAGGGCCAGGAAGCCAAGAGAAGAGAGTGTTTTAAGAAAGAGGGGTAGTTGCCTGTGCGGAATGCTGCCCAGAGTAAGCCGAGGACAGAGACGTGTCCACTATATTTGGCAGCAAGGACATCAGGGCAACCTTGATGGTGCAGTCTTAGTGGAAGAATGAGGACAGAAGCTGACTGGTATGGGTGGAACAGCAAATAGGAGCCAATGAACCAGAGAGAACAACCGTTGGCAACTTTTAGAAAGTCTTAATGCAAAGGGAAGCAGAGAGATGGTGCTTTGGCTAGAATGAAATAGGGTCAAGCGAGAGTTTTGTCCAAATATGAAGAATATAATACCGTGTCCCTGTGCTGATGGCCAGGAATTGGGGAGGAACTGACGGTACAGAGAGAGAGGAGATCACCCAGGATCAAAGTTCTTGACAAAGTAAGAGGGAGGGGACCCAGAGCACAGGAGGACAGAGCTGGCCTTTGATAGGGGCAGGGATAGTTGTCTGGGAGGCAGAGGAAGAGGAGGTGGATTTGTAGAACTAGCCATGCAAAGCTCAGGGAAACTCCTCGGATGGTTTCTCGTATTTTTCTATGGAGTGGAAGCAAGTTACAGCCAAAGCGAGACAGGAAAAGAGGGGGGGAGGCAGAACCCAGGATTAGATGTGAAATAGTTATCACAACCAAGCCCACTGGAGAAACAGAGTAGGATTTCCGGCAGTGCGGAGCGACCATTCGAAGTTGCTGACCGTGAATTTGTAACGACCCTGGCCTGCCAGGCTATTTGATAGTGTGTTTTCTGCCCTACAATGGCGTGTGCCAAGCATGGGCCTTTCCCAGGTAATCCAATTATCTCCATTGACAGATGAGCCAGTCAAGACTCAGAAAGACTTCCTGGCTTGCCCAAGGTCGCACAGCTGGTAGGGGCAGAGCAGGACCTTGGGCCCAACCCCTGAACGCCTCTGCAGAGGCCAAAGCTGTCCAAGGTCTAAGTAGACTATCTTACTTGGTAGTGTTCGTGGTCGCCCGTTGTGGATGCAAGTGAGGAAACGCAGAAAAGAGAAACACAGCTTTCCCTTTCCTGTAATACTTCTGTATGTTGGTGCTTGGGCCAGTTGTGTACAAAGGGCCGTGAGGGCTGCTTCTCTGTAAAGTGTATTTGCTGAATAACCACACCATTTCTCCATCTCTAGCGATAGCTAAATTGCTAGCTTCTTTCAACCCTGGTCCAGGAGTGCCGAGACATTTGGGGTTAACGGCTCCTCCCCATCTCTTAACTATCTGCCCTTCTTCGATTCAGTGTTACTTTCACTTAGAGAGCTCTCCCAGGAACACTAAGCTTGGTGTTATCACCAGCAAACATCTTAGAAAGCTGGTCTTCCACTGCCTGTTTACAGAAGTATTTCCACACCTTGCTTGTGTTTCCAGGAATTCCTCATCTTCCTGGCCAGGAATATTAACAGACAGGTCTTGAAAAGTGCAAGAGGCTTTTTCTGTGGCTGCAAGCACATTGAACACTTTTTCCTTTTAACCCCTAAGCAGTAAGTAACGAAGTCCCAAAGGTTGGGTAAAAACCAATCTGATAGAAAGAGTCACTTTTAAAAACTACATCCTCAGGGGGAAAAACTGTGATGTGACCTTAGTGGTTCTAAGGGGTTAAATGGAGCCCCATCCACCCACCCCCATCATGTCCAAGTCCTGACCTAAGACCTAGACCTGTGACTGTGACCTTATTTGGAAAAAGAGTCTTTGCAGAGAAATTAAGGATCTTGAGATGAGATCATCCTGGATATAGGGGAGTGAGGGTGGGGTGCTAAATCCACTGACAAGTGTCCTTATAAGAGACACACAGATGCATTGGAGGTGGCAGTGTGACCAAGGATGCAGAGATTAGAGTGATGTGGCCACAAGTCCACAAGTCAAGGAACCCCTGAAGCCACCAGAAGCTGGAGTAGGCAAGAAGCAGTCTCCCCTAGAGCCTCCAGAGACAGAATGACACCTTGATTTTGAACTTCTGGCCTCCAGAACTGTGAGAAAATACATTTCTATTTTAAGCAGCCAAATTTGTGGCATTTGTTACAGCAGCCACAGGAAGCTAATGCAGTGGTCCCCCATTTCTAGAGCCTGGGAGGCCTGACATCTGTGTGTCAATCAGTGTGCCAAGTTCAAGGCTGCATGCGGATGGAGCCAGCACCAAGCAGCTTGTGTTGGCAGAAGCAGAACAAACTGGCTCACACAAATCGACTTATCACAACATGGTTCAAGCTCTCATCGGCAGTGACTGAACCTACATTAAGGTTCAGAGCACAGACTCAGTGGCCGGATGGAGTAGGTTCAAATCCTGGCTCCACCTCTCAGTGACTCGCAAGCTTCTTATACTCTCTGGGCCTCAGTTTCTCCACAGGTTCCAATGAGGACACCGATAACAGTCCCACTTGCAGGGTGATTGTCAGACTTGATCAGTGTAAAGCCCCTGGACTTGACCATGCTGACATATCACAAGTGCGAGATGAGTGTCTGCTATTATTACAATAACCCAAATCAAAACAGGCACAAATGAGCTCAGAATAATCGAAGAGATGTAAATATGCTAATGGACAGGAGGGAAGGGGACAGGGCACAACCATGAAAGGAATGACACAGCAATTGAAGATTCAACTCCCTGGAGACCTTGAGGCCCAAGATGGCGGGAGATTTGACTCCCAGTAGACCTTGAGCTTCACTGAAATCTCACTGTAATACATTGGCATGAGAAATGACACTCCACAGGCACTGTGATCGGTCTGAGGCTGGCTATAAAAGATCAAAAAGTGGGCAGTGGCCCAGTTCTTGGGCGTCCCTGCCCCTTCCCCAAAGTAGTTAGACTGATCCTCCCACTTGTTAGCATATGAAGTTTCTAAGCCCATGAAAACTAGCAACACTGCACCTTGTGGTCGCTCTCTCTTGCCTTCTGAGACGGCCGGCATGCTATGGAGTGTGCATCTCTCTGAATAAATCTACTTTTACTCAACTGTGGCTCACTCTTGAGTTCTTTCCTGTGCAAAGCAGAAGGACCCTCACTTAGCAGGGTGCATCCCAGGACTTGCCCAAGACCTGGGACCCGACCACCTTCTGTGCCAGATTTTTTCTGTATCACTTACTCTGACATAAAGTGAGTCAAACCACTTAAAACTAGCTGAACCGAATGCAAACTTGCTCAAATCTCTTGGGTCAACCTGTACCAAAACCAGATGAAAGCAATCAAAGGGGATTAGAGCAGGTCTGGAATCTGTACACATGTTTGTACACACGAGGGGGTCTCTGTTCTCCCTGTGCGTCAGCTTAGACGGTGACAAACAGCTTGCCTCCCCCCACGTGATATGTCCCAGGGGCGAGAGTGATGCGCAGGCAGAGGGTCTGGATGCAAGTCCATGTCTAAGAGAGACCAAGACATAGTACCCCATCGGAAGCACAACCAACATCTACTAAAAGAAGCACTGAAATGGCTCAGCATAGGTCAAGCTCAAATACTAGGGCCCAACCTCATACTAATTAGGCAAGTGACGGGATATCACGCTCCAGGATCCCAAGGAATCTTCTGAAACTCAGGGGCAAGAAGTGTAGTCACTGTCCATGGGGATGTAGAAGGTCGTCAGAAGCCAAGGCCCCTCTCTCTCTGGCCCTGGGTGGGAGGAGGGGGAGGGGGAGGGGAGGTAAGTCCCTCAAGGCCAGTAGCTCAGTGAGCAGCAGGATGAGGAGAGAGAGGCCCTTGGGAGGTTGGGAGTTTCAGGTGAGAAATTCAGAGTTAGAGGCCTTCACGGAGCAGCTCATTCCAGTGATCACAAGGCGCTCTCCTAGGCATTCACTGGCTCCACCCCACCCCAGCTCTCTCCAGGGGACACCAGCAATGCATTTGTGTTACTCTGTGTCTCCTGCTGGAGCGGGCAGATGCTGGGGAGGCACCTGGGTGGGGTCCAGGGCCCGCAGTGGGGCTGGAGCCTTTAAAGTCAAGGCTGGGTGGGCAGCAGCCCCTCTGTAGCACAACCAGAAGCGGGGGAGATAAGGAGAGGCCCAGGGGAGAGTGTCCCCGGGGGCACCACATGGCTGCTGGGACACAGAGGGACAGAGAAGTTGTGCCAGTCAAGGGCCTGGGTGGGAGTCAGAGGCCCTCAGTACCGGTCCTGGCTCTGCCTCTGACATGCTGTGTGGCCTTGAACAATTCTCTGCTCTGTCTGGGCCTCACTGACCCATATCTGAAATAAGACGGAGATGTCTGTGGTCACAGAGGGCCCTGAACTCATTAAAAAAAAAAAAAGAAGCGAGAGCTCTTTCAGTTCAGCTGAATGCTCATTCCTCCGTCCCAGCCGGCACAAAGGCCAGGCGCATCTGCTACGGGCTGGGCACCTTCTGCGGGTGGGTCACCTGACGTGGGTCATCTCATTTAACACCCCACCAACCCTGAGGTATCATCACCCCCATTTCACAGATGGGAAAACTGAGTCCCAGAGACATGCTATGGCTCAGACACAGCTACCGGAGGCCCTGTCTCTAGCTCCCCTAGGGCAGAAGGGGGAATGAGGATGGAATGCCAGAGACCAGGGGTGCCATGGAGGATGTGCCTCAGAATCAACTTCTGGGGGCAAAACAAGGGAGCAGGCTCAGGCCCAGAAAGAAGCTGGGGGGATAGCACCCCATTGACTCATTTTAAAATAATCAGTTTTATTTGATTTTTCATTAATTAATACATTCTCATGGTTCCAAAAAATGTATACAAAGCCCACAGTAAAAAGTCTCACTCGACACATGTGCCTCATTTGCCCTCTTCTGACACCTCATCCCCCCGCCCCGCCTCTGCACCGGTCACCACTTTTTATTAGTATCTGAGATATTCTTGCAGAGTTAGCTGTTTTATGCAGGCACAAAAATGGAGATGTGTTCATACCACCCTTTTTACATAAAACGTAACAAGCTGCATATACTGTGCTATACCTTTCCCCACTAGTCACACGTCTTAGAGGACTTTATCAGCCAGTAGAGCTTTCTTGTCCTTTCGTTGTTGTTGTTGGTAATGGAGGTACTGGGGATTGAACCCAAGGTCTCGCTCATGATAAGCATAAGCCCCACCGCTGAGCTGTACCCCTCAACCCACCCTGTTCTTTTATCTTACAGCCTAATATTCTATTGCATAGATTGAAATAATTCATTTAAGCAATTCCCTATCAATAGACATTTGAGTCCTTTCTAGTTTTCTTTTTTTTTTTTGGTATTACAGTAATGCTGCAGTAAATAACCATGTACACACACTGCTTAATACATGTACAAGTGTATTTACAGAATTAATTCCCAAAAGCGGATTGCTGGGTTGAAGGTACTGTGTTAGTTTTCTCTGGCCATATAACAAAGTACTACAAACTCAGCAGCTTAAAACAACACCCGTTTGTTAGCTAACAATCTGTAGGTCAGAAGTCCCGCATGGTGGGACTGGGTTTTCGGCTCAGGATGGAATCAAGGTATTGGCAAGACTTAGTTCTCATTTGGAGCCTCAGGGGTAAAATCTACTTCCAAGCTCACTCTTGTTGCTGATGGAATTTGCTTCTTTGTGGTCTCTGGGTTCTTGCTGGTGATCAGCAGGGGACCTCCCTTACCACCTAGAGGACACCTACCTACTCTGCCATGTGGCTTCCTCCAAATGGCATGATGAATCCTTCTCATGCTTCAAATCTCGGACATCTCCTTCTGAGACCAGCCAGAGAAAATTCTCTGCATTTAAAGGGCTCACCTGATCAAGTCCAGCCCACTCTGGGTAATCTCTCTACCTTAAAATCAACGGATTTGGTACACATCTGCAGACTTCTCTTTTGACATATAGTGGAAAATAGTCATTGAGTCCATATTTTCATCATATTTACAGATTCTGCCCACACGCAAAGGATCACACAAAGCTGAACGCCAAGGAGGCTCACCTTAGAATCCCATCTAACACAGGGGTATTTGTAATTTGGATAGATATTGCCGTCTGGTCCCCCACGGATGCTGTGCTGAAGGATCTCCCCTCCCCCAGCAGTGATGAGTGTGCCTGCTTTTCCACAGTATCACCTAAAGAATAATCCCAAACTTTCAGCTTTCTGCCAATCTGATAGAAGAAAATGGAAAGCCAATGCATTTTTAACATGTGGTTATCTTTTTATGAGTAAGGCTGAGGATTTCTTTAGAAGCTTAAAATCCATTTATATTTCTTTTTCGTTATGGCTTCAGGGTTTGAGTAATAGGAAGGTCTTTCTAACACCATAGTTAATCAGGAACCCTTCTATGTTTTCTTCTGCTGCTTTTATGGTTTCATTATTTATCCACTGGTTCTTGGAAATAGAAGCTTCTCTTGTCATTTTCTTGGCAGTGAGTGCAAAAGTTGGTCCCAAAAGGATTGGGATTTGAGACAGAGAAAGGAGCCCTCTAGGTGCTGGGCTCTGATCTCCTTCAGCTCTGCCAGAAATCCAGCCAGCAGACCTTCCCACTTCCCTTCCTCCAGCACTCATTGTGTTCTGGGCTGGCACTGGGGGGCCCGGAGTTAAGGGGGACCCTGCTCTGCCTGAGGAATGAGACAAGCACTTGGCCAGACCCGGATTCAAGATACAGATCCAAGGCTGTGAGTACAAGGGAGGGAGAGGGGGATTCTGATGGGAATATTCAGGAGGATTCAGGGAGGAGTTGGCATCTCAGCTGAGCGTTAAGCACGAGGAGAAAGGTAATGGCTGTGTTGGAGGAAGGGGACCAGCAGGAGCAAAAACTGGGAAGTGGAAAAATCAGCCTGAAGTCTAGAGCAGAGAGGATTTAGTGGACCATGAAGTCCTCAAGGATAGGGATAGAATATGATTTATCTCCGTGCACTAGCCAGAGTTTGTCAAATGAAATCAAGTAGAAGGGACACGGGGCTTTGGATCCCAGAAAAAAATCATTTCCCCTTTTACTCTGACAGTGAGAAGCAAAGACCTCCAAGAAGTCCTTGGCTATGCCGTCATCTCCGAACCTGGGTGATCACTAGGCACCACTGCCCCCTTGTGGCTTATCTGGGAATTCTACGTGACTAGCCTCAGGTGTCAGATCTAAACTGAGCCAATCCTGGAACTAAAGGTGGGGAGGAGGCTGAGTGGGTCTCAGAGGATTGGAAAACCATGAAATTCCGTTCTGAGTTCAGTGGGCACTCAGAGACCATCTGGTGTAACATATGGAGAAACCAAGTCTCAAAGAGGCCAAGAAGTGGAGGGAGAACTAGACCTGGTGTAAGACAGTCCTCAGTTTGAGGCTGGCTCCACTTCTTACTGGTTGTAAGACCCTGGGAAAGTGGCCTTATCTCACCGACCCACGGTTTCCATCTCTGTAAAATGGAGTCTGGGATCTGGCAGGCTTCTCTTTTCTGGTGATGTCTGGCTAAGTTACTCAGATCAATTCTCCCACTGAAAACAGCTAAACATGCTGGTATTCTGGTACAACCAGAAGGTACAGAGTTACCAGAATAAAACTGCAGGGAGAAACAGAAACTTTGACTCATAAACCAAGCAAGGTCTTTTTTCTGATTCTGGCCAATTTGAAATATTGTTTTCCTGACTCCCCTGGGCAAGGGGCACAAATAAAATTAAAGCACATGGTGAAGGGTCATATAGAAAACCTTCCCCACAATAAGCTGGATCCTCCAAAGCCATATTCTCAGAAGGAAACCAGCCCTAGTGTGGGCTTGCAGCCCTAGTTTATGTGTGTTGGGTGGCTGTAACTTAAAGTCTTGAACTTGGACTGAGGTGCCTCCGGACTGTTTGTGCCTCTAGCTTCCTGGAAAAAGCAAATGAAAGTCTTCTTTGGAGGGAGGGTTGATTAACTCTAGACTTGAACAAGTTAAATGTATAGATTATAACCTCTAGGACAATCAATAAAATAATAAAAACCGTATAATTTCCATATCAGTTAAAGGAAGTGAAAGTCCCCTCTGGGTGAGGGCTCCTAACCAAATACTTACATAAATTGCATCAGACAAAGGGGACT